CCTTATCAGTTGGACATTCCGGTTTTTATTCTGCTTTTTTTTAATTCACTAACGCTCTAAAAATGAATATTTCAGCCGCAGTAAAGAATCAACGTTGGCGGATTTTTTCTTGACATCCTTTACGATCGGTTACGATGCTTAGAGCACGGAGACCTGTACGATTTCGTCAACTTAGTGAGTTTGATAGGGGCCGTATAGTGGGACTTCGGAAAGCTGGACTTTCTTTTCGGGCAATTGCAGTTAGAGTGCAAAGAAGTGTAGACACTGTGGTTAGGTGTTGTCAGGCATGGCTTCGAGAATGCCGTACGCAAAGAGCAAGGGGCACTGGACGCCGCCGTAGAACAACACACTGGGTCCTCCCTTTGACTCGAGAACACCGACGTAATCGCCTTGAGTGGTGCAGACAACGGTTACTCTGGGATCAGGAATGGAACAGTATTGTCTTTAGTGACGAGTCTCGATTTTGTTTAGGCATGCACGATGGTCGTGCCAGGGTTAGAAGGCGACGTGGTGAAAGGAGGAATCCACAGTTTTTTGTTGAAAGACATGTTCATCACACTGTTGGAGTTATGGTTTGGGGTGCTATAGCTTATGGTTCCAGGTCACCTTTAATCTACATCAGAGGTAACATGAACGCGCAGCGTTATATCCACGAAGTTCTAGAACCCCATCTTTTACCCTATCTTGACACCCTGGCAGATCCAACTTTCCAACAAGAATGCCCGACCACATGTTGCAAGAGTCACAATAGACTTCTTTCAACATAATGATGTCACATTGTTACCATGGCCACCAAGATCTCCCGACTTATCCCCAATTGAGCACGTGTGGGATATGATGGGTAGGAGATTGCTCAATTTGCAACGTATTCCTCAGACTCTAGAAGCACTTCGAGAGGAGTTGGTGGTTACCTGGAATGAGATACCACAGGAGGACATTGACCACCTGATCAGAAGCATGCCTAGGCGCGTTGGAGAATGCGTAGCACATCAGGGTGCATCCACACATTATAAAAGGTCAAAGGGCTTTAAAGCAGTGCAATCATTTTGAAATTTTTATCATTTACTTATTATGCTTCATTAAGTACTTATACAAAATTTTATTAAAATAAAACCATTTAAACTGGGTGTTCGGATTTATATGTCACTTAGTATATGTTTGAGCAACAAGAATGGATGCCAGAGAAGATAGTTGTGCTTCTGGTTACCATAAAGGATAGGTTAAAAGAAGAGCGGTACAGTGGATAATTTGCCCCTTTCTGTTTTTTGATATCTATAACTGAGAATCACTGTTTATCTTGTGAAGATAAATATAATCATTTTAGATGGTTTTTTTAGTTCTGTATGAATTGACATTAAGCTTAAGGTGTCCACTTTACCCGAATCTCCCCTATATGTGATATTTTAGTTCTTCTGTGCTCGACTTTTTGAAAATGTGTTGCAGGTGTAGCACATCTAAAATGTGGGGACCGCAAAGACACATAACCCTTCACCACACCGATAGAAAAAAGCGACGTCGATGTACTAAACGAATGCGTGACAGGATACTCCGTCGATTCATGTACTCGAATTTTTACAAATCTTTCTGGCAGGCAAACACTCAATTGTTCTCTGCTGTGTCGATTCAACAAATTCCTTAATATCCCCAAAGGAGTAATAACGTTAATTGTACCCTAGCTGGAATCGCACGGGAGAAAATGAGTCGCTTCCATTCTTTCAGTCGCACAAAGCTGAGGTGCCTTTCACGCGTAAACCAGAACCCGTCCGCAGCAGTAGCTGAGCTTCAGCTTCGTCCCAGATCGTTCAGCAGCTTGTCGACCGTGACCCCGGTCGCTCGGTCGGTCTGTTGAAGTCTGCGGTGGCGATAGAGGTCGCCCTTATAATACAGTCCAACAGAAACTTTAACTTTAGAAATAGTAAGAAGAGACTAGACTTTTTAACGCAAATCCTCATCACGACAGCAATGGAGCGTTCCCTGAAAAGCTAGAGGTAGATGGCGCTAGTTAGGCTGGCCATCGTGTCTAAAGATATAAGCAGTAAAATACGTCAATTCATGATCAGACGTTAACGTCAATAGACGTCCAAATATGTACGAGGCATGTCTTTTAAGTTTTGCATATGGAAATAAAACAACACGGTAGGTAGTTTTAAATGACTTTATCGTTTCTCGAAGTATTCTCTACGAAGATTAATACATATCTGCATGCGCTCGAACCAATTTTCGAAGCACTTATTCCATTTGCTGGCAGATCCAAAACAGACAGTAACTCGGCAAGGCATTCTTGTTGCGATAATTGTCTCTGAAAGTTGTAATAAATTATGGCGCGAAAATGTTCTCGGTTGAGTTCCATTTTTCTAATGACTTGGTGACACCTAAAAATTCACTGTAGTGAGAACGCTGCACGTATTGTTGTGAAACTTTGAATTTAAGTTTACTAAAGAGTGAGGTTAAGATTCAGTACTGACGTTCGATCCGCGCGGCCTACTATGTTTCTATATGCAAAACTGAAAAGACATCCCTCGTGTTTGGAATTATGCTATTTGTGATAAATGTATGATCCTTTCTTAATATACAGGGTATTTTCAAAGTTGAGTCATTTATTTTAACTGTATTTAGGACTCGTCAAAAGGGGTTGTTCGAAATTTGCATAATAAAAGAAATAGTAAAAGATCACGAATTTTAAAAAATGCTTCGCTTTGCTATGGATCTACTCCTCACTTCTTAGTCGTCACGGCACAGTGTGGCTTCAGTTTTACTGACTTGGTAGTCAAGGCACCGCCCAGCAGAGGGCGCACGCTCTTAAGCTCTTAAGCCAAAGCACATGAACAGTTGGAACGAACGATTATTTCGCAGGGGATTCAAGTGAAATTAATATTTACCCGACGTTTTTCAAAGAGTAAAGATTCTGACATGTAATGTATGCCTGTTCACAAAGCTTATTAACCCTGTAATGCTTAGTGGGGTTTCGCATCGCCCCAAAGAAAATTCAAATGTTCACTAATTTTTTGTGCATAAATTGGCAACATCGGAGATCCCGCTATGTTCATTTGAGGTTAACGTGTGTGTTGTTGGTCGCACATTTTTGTTCAGTGCAATAGTTTATATGATATTTTGTGTTTGGGGTGACGAGTAACCCCAGGTAAGCTTAAACTGGTATTTTTATTTCATTCCACACACTAGATTACGCAATTTATTTAGATGGATGTCCGACCAGATGATCTCAAATTTGAAGAAACTCTGTTACGATGGAATGAAGAACTCGACAATGAACCTGATTGAGATAATGACGGCACTGACTATGACGACCATGTTTCAATTCAGTCCGACAGGGAGAGCACCTACTCAACGGATGATAGTGAAGTAGAGAGTGAGTCAGAACAACAACTTCCTGGCAAAGTAATAAAAAAAAAAATGGACATATTTGGAGCACTGAGCTTCCATGTCGTACTCGAACACCTAAGCGAAACATTGTTTCATGTATTCCAGGACCAAAAGGTGCGGCCAAAAATATTTCAACGGAATTAGAGGCATGGAAGTTATTTTTTAGCGCGAATGTTATAGATATTATAATGGTGCATACAAATATGGAAATAGAACGACAAAGAGGGAAATATGTTGCTAATTGTGGCTTTGTTAACGAGACAGACGTTGAAGAGATCTTGGCTTTGATAGGACTGCTTTATATGACAGGTTGTAGAAAAGACAATCATCTAACTACAGCAGAAATGTGGTCAAAGCATGGACCAGAAGTGTATCGATGCGTAATGAGTGAAACAAATTTTTGATATCTTGCCTCAGATTTGACGAAAAAACCACGAGAGACCGAGAGGATAAATTTTCTCCAGTACGTAATATATGGGAAATAATGTTTATATCTAACTGTACAAAATACTATACTCCTCACAGTTATTGTACCATCGACGAACAGTTATTGGGATTTCGAGGCAATTGCCCTTTTAGAGTATATATTTCATCAAAACCTGACAAATATGGAATCAAAGTTGTAACGATGTGCGGTTCACGCACATATTATATGGTAACTGCTATTCCACATATCGGCAAAGAAAATAGGCCAGATAAAGAACCTCTCCCAGCTTATTACGTAAGAAAAATGACAGAACCCATTCACGGAACCGGACGCAATTTGACGATGGACAATTGGTTTACTTCCATCCCACTGGCTGACAAAATGCTTGTTGACTACAATTTGACCATTGTGGGTACTCTCAGAAAAAACAAGAGGGAAATTCCTTCATCATTTCTCCCAAACAAACGAAAGGAAATTATGTCTTCTCAATTTGGATTCGACAACCAAAAAACCTTGGTGTCCTTCACACCCAAGAAGTCTAAATCTGTGCTACTTTTATCGGCATTCTGGTAGTACAATAGATGAAAATAAAAAACCCGAGATAATAAATTTTTACAATTCTACCAAAGGAGGTGTCGATACCTTTGACCAGATGGTGCACACATATTCGGTATTCCGCAAAACACCCAGGTGGCCATTACGCTTTTTTTATGGTATAATGGATCAGCAGGCATTAACTCCAACATTATTTTCCAAATTGTTAAGCGTGATAGACAGAAAAGTGTTCGCCGAAAATACCTATTGAACTTGGACTACCAACTGGGTCAGGCCTCATATGGAAAGACGTTGGACAAAACCAATACCTCGAAAATTGAAAGAATCAATAATGATTATATATATATATAGATATGAAAACAGAAGAAAAAGTTGATCCACCTCCAGCAAAATTGCTAAAACAGACTCGCTGATTTTATGTCCAAGAACAACAAAAACTGCCTGTGCGAAAATGTTTCAAGCTGTTTGCAGTAATCATCGAGCTAAATATGTACGAGTGTTTGAAATAAATGTTTTATTATTGAAACAAAAGTGTCTATATTATATTTTGTTCATTAAATAGGAATAATATCACTGGGGTTATTGGTAACCCCGCCTAAGCAACTATAGCCGTGCTATTCGCCTAAGCGCTCCAGGGTTAAGTAGAATTTAGCAGTGTTAAGGCAAACATCAATGACTATTTGTGCTATAGCCGCAAAGTTTTGTGTACGGACTCAAATATAAAAATAGGTTTCTAAGCTATACCAGGATATTTATGAAGTGTTTTTCAATTTATTATGACAAATAGATCATATATCTTAGATCTGTTCCGTCAAAACTGTCTTCATTTCCGCGGGTCAATATATAATCAGGCCTGGCAGTTAGGTGAACTTTGTTGTATGAACAGCATATTCCGGGAGTAAATAAAGAACACATACTAGCATAATTCTCCAACAAAGCAGTGTTACGAGAGCTTAAACCTGAAATCACGTTCACCAAACTTCTCAGACTATCACAGCTGCTCTCGGAGATTTTTCGGATAATTAACTCCAGCGATTTATATAGTTGGGCGGTTTCGCGTTTTATGCCGAAGCAGGCAGTAAAATGCGGCGAAGCTGGAAATTTATGTAAACCGTTGTTTACCTAGCAGGGGAATCAACCGCAAGCTTCAAGTGTGTCCGACAGCTTTACCTTTCGCCAGGTAAATGCTGCGGCTTCGGGCCATTCTAGCGAAAGTATGCGGCAATTGGAAAACTATTTGCTGGTTTGTTCTTTGACTGTAGTACCTGGAGTATCTCTCTGTGAACGATGGTGCAACACCTTTTAAGTTGAAAGATGGTAACAAAGAGAGGCTATAGTTCTTTTCGTGGTCTTTGGCGGTTACGTCACCAATGCCATACGAAATTAGTAAGCAAATCGACTAAATGAATCATGCGCGGAGCTAAAACACCACAGAAAAAATGCACGCTGGACAAACTGATCTTAAACGCACACATGATTGGTTAATAACGGACCTCTGCTTTCATGCACTTCCACAAGACACTCACTATAATTTTGACAAAAAACTATAGATATTGTCCGTTGATTACTGATCAACAGCCAAAAAATATCCTAAATAAAATCAACAAAATATTACTATTTTTAATGTGCTAAAACCGGAATGAAACTAATTTTTTCAATATTAGTTCAAGTTTTAGAAATACCGTAATTATATGTGTTCCTGCTGTGACAGTGTTAATATACTGTAATTCACAAGAATGCACGTGCTACATTTTTAGATTCGGCAAGGAAAGATGATGTAATCGGCATGATTGTGTTACGTTATACATACGTGTACATTATATTGTTTTATATTAGCCATTTTTTCCTCAGTTGGCCGACAGCGTTCGAAAGTGTGTAAACAATCCAGATCAGTTTTGTTACGTGTGTGGTGATGTGACTTTTGCGTCTCAGAGACGGTCTATTACTCCACTAATAACAAAGGCATATCAGCTTTATTTTGGTTGTAAACTAGGTGATCAAGACAAACAGTGGGCACCCTACATCTGCTGTACTACATGTGCTTCAAGTCTGAGGAGCTGGTTAATGGCAAAAACGGTCTATGCGCTTTGCTGTCCCAATGGTTTGGAGAGAGCCTACAAATCATATTAATGATTGTCACTTTTGCATGGTACCTTGTGTTGGACAAGCCACAGGTATGTCCAAGAAAAAAAAATCGATTATTAACTACCCAAAACATACCATCTGCGATGAGACCTGTGCCTCACAGTGACGAAAATCCTACTTGGATCAAGACTGCAGCAGTGGAACTTGTTAGAAGACGATGTTTCGGTATGTGTTTTTCGTAAACGCGACAAAGACTTGGAACCATTTTTCAATATGGAGAATAACTTGGTTTTCTGCAGTAACATTAACGGCTTACTGGCGGCTTTAAATATAAACTATAACCCAGAAGAATGGAGATTGTTTATAGACAGTTCAACATTGAGTTTAAAGGCAGTGTTATTGCATATTGGAAATATTTTACCATCTCTTCCTGTAGGGTATGCAGTTCGCATGAAAGAATCATATGACAATATGAAGTACCTATTGACATGCATTAAAATACGATGAGCACCAATGGCATATTTGTGGCGATTTGAAAGTTGTTGCACGTTTACTTGAGCTGCAGCTAGGCTACACAAAGTTTTGCTGTTTTTTTGTGTGAATGGGACAGTCGGGCAAAGGTACTTCATTACACCAGACAAAACTGGCCTGCTCGTCAATTCCTAGAACCAAGGTCAAAAAAATGTACAGCATATGCCATTAGTAGATTCGAAAAAATTTTATTACCACCACTGCATATCAAGTTGGGCCTCATGAAAACTTTGTCAAGGCATTAGATAGAGATGGGTCAGCTTTTCAATCAGAAATTTCCAAGACTAAGTGAGGCAAAGGTTAATAAGAAGGTATTTTTGTTGGGCCACAGATTCGAAATATTTTGAAAGATACACAGTTTGAAAACACTTTAACAGGTATTGAAAAAACTGCTTGGAATGATTTCCGTCTGTTGGTCACTAATTTCTTGGGAAATAGAAAAAGCTGACAACTATAAAACCCTTGTCAAAAATATGCTGTCATCGTATCAAAAGATGGGCTGTAATATGTCTCTTAAGATACATTTCCTACACTCACACCTGGACTTTTTTCCTGACAATTGCGGAAGGCGTAAGTGATGAGCACGGCGAACGTTTTCATCAGGATATTTCAACAATGGAAAAAAGGTTACCAGGGAAAGTGGAATCCATCCATGCTTGCAGACTACTGTTGGACTCTTGGTAGAGATGCTCCAGAAACGATCCATAAAAGAACAGTAAGACGCGCTCTCTATATAGTGATTCTTATAAGTAGTGAATCTTGTTACTTTTTTTAATATATCCTTAAAAATAAAAGTTTTTTTCTAAACCGCAACTAATTTTTTTATTTCATTGTCATTTTTGGATTCAGCGCCCCAAAATTAACAAAAGAAGTGCACTTTTTCCCACAAGATACAATTAAAAAACTAAAATTTGTTGTCCAGTGTTATTTTTGCAGGTGCTAGTAAAAGTGCTAAAATTAAAAATGGTACGCTCATGTCACGATAATATGCACAGATATGCTTTAACACACAGACTTAACTTGATTTATGTATATAATTCTTTGATTTTACCTCGATCTTAATATTTTAACATTGTTTTTGCACGGAAGCTGAACTAAATGAAAGAATTAACACAGCAGTAAAGACATATCGTACAATGAGCCAAAGCCTTCCTTGGAAACATAAAAATTAGAAGGAAAATCTAAGATGATTGTTTACAAGACCATATTTAGGCCAACATTAATTTATGGTAGCGAAGGTTGGATGCTAACAAACAGATTAAAGAGCAAGATGCAGGCAGTAGTAGATATGAAATTTTTAAGGAAAGTCAAAGGAATAACTAGACGAGACAAAATCAGAAATGATATAGTAAGGGCAGAACTGGCAGTAGAAGCAATCTTGCATAGAGTTAAAGTACAACAACTATGATGGTTTGGACATCTGAACCGCATGAAGGAAAGTAAGACCAGCTAACGGGGTGTGGGAAAACAAGAGTTCAAAGAAAAGGAATACGAGGACATTCGAGAAAGAAATGGAACGATACACCTTACACCTTCGAGTAGATAAGACTTTGATTATATATATATATATATCGTGCAATCATCAAGTGGCTTCACGATGTATTGCTCTAATGTTTTTTAAATAATTTTAATCTGTTTTTAACTTGTTCTGTCATATTTTATATAATTTTGACCATTGTACCATCTATCCAGCTCTCACCATGTTACTGGACGTTTCCCTCATCCTATACGTAAACAACAATTAGCAACATCCTCACATACTACTTCTCC